TTAACTATAGTTCAGAACAAGGCGGTTTGCATGACTTGTCTATCTCAATCACCCGTGACCGTGTGCCCTGCAAAGTGCCTGAAACGTTGGTATGTTTGTAAAAACAAATAAATACTAAACAATTTTTTCGATTTACATCCGAAAAAATAGTTTCGTTTTAAATTGTGTAATTGATTTTGTTGTCAGTTGAAATGTTTTGAAATACGTTTGTAATATGGACAGCAGTCCGAAGTATTTTTTTAACTTCGTCTACTCGTATTGGACAAAAAGTTAAAGCAAAAAAACGACCCCAACAAATTTTTATTAAATAATGTAATAATTACTTGACCTTTATTCTTCAAGGACTCCACCTTCATGCCTACCATAGACAAAGAGAGTGAGAAAGGAAGAGTAATTACTTTTTAATTTCCTTTGCGTTGATTAAATTCAGGTTAACGGAACATTAACATTCAGAATCCGTTTACATTAGAAATATTTAATTTTCAACCGAGATGAAATTGAGGCGCGAGGCAGGAAATGAGCGGCTTGAAAGGATGTTGAGTTTCGAATAACTAACTATAATTAAGCATAAACTAAAATTATTCTTCAAACCACGTTCTGATTCTTCAATGAATTAAAATGCAGATAAACGGGCGTCAGACGTGAAGGTTCCGGGTTGGATTCCTGGTAGCGCTAATATGGAAACAAACTTTTCTAAAGTATTTTACTACAAAAAAACGCTATTAGAGATAAGAATAGTGTGTCTTTTCTCAATATAACATACTGTTTACAACCAAACTTTAAACATCAGTCTGTCACTTTTCAATTCAATTAAGTATACTCATACATAAAGAAACTGTATGCTGGTACCTTTGCCTACCCAAACAAATCACTTAAAAATAAATTCAAACAATGAAGATTGCGTCACTTATCGTTGATTTTTCGTGAAGTCAGACACTTGTCAGGATTTGCCGCCAGAGGCGCCACAAACACATGTCTTGGAAGTCAATGGGCCAACTCCAACCTCGAATCGCTAATAGTCCTAGTCTGTTTCAGGGGTACTAGAATTAATTTCATTGCTGCATTGGTACTGACAGTACAGCGAATTTCTTAGTTTGCGAGTGGTACGGTTAGTAGTTAGTAGTTTTTTGTTATGTTATTATTATTATTAATAAAATGCTGTGGAAAATTTTTCCTTGTTTTATGATAGCAAGTGCCGAGACGAACAAGTCGTGCGTCTAGTGGTATGCGACACGTCTGTCCACAACAGTTGCAGTGTCACTCGCAGCTATAAATCGTAAAGGTCTGAGGGACAGAGAAAGTTTACAAAAAGCACCCTTACCCTTCAAAACCGGAAAGCAGTAATATAACTTACAATACTACTTAGCGGCAGAAATTGGTGTGATGGCAGTACTTCCCTCGACAAACTCTTTCAACTATTTAAGAATATTCTGCATAAAGCTTCACTCCTTTTCGTTTCAAAAGCTCAAAGCTTTCGAGTACTTGATTTCTTCACATAACTGGAACTTACCTGAAACAACAAGTTTAAAATATAATGAAGTTCAAAGTTCAACCAACACTTACACAATTTTTTTTATATCGGGTTCAAATGCATTATAATCCAAAATCGAGCGCACGAACTAATCACAACTAAATATTTGTTGTAAATCGAGTTTAGTTCAAATTTAATATTAAGAAAGAAAGGAAATTTTATTCAGTACATTTTAAATTGAACTTGTAAAATAAAAAAATAGTTGGCTACGGACAGCCACGGCGCTGGTATTATGTGGAGCCGATATTGTGTGGATTATTGCATAATATTTACTTATTGCTTTCTGATCTAGACGATTCGATTTGCCTTTCCATTGAATCGATTCGCATGAAAAAAAAATAGTTAAAACCCATAGCTTTGGGTTAAAATCTGGGCGGGTTGTTTGGGTTTTAACTCACTGCCCTTGTCTGATTGCGACTATACCCCTTAGCATTTTCACCAACCGCTTTCTAATGGATTATCGACTGCATTGAAATTGCTATTAAGTGTATAAATAAGTTTAATTATTAAAGTAGTGTATTTTGTATTTTGATTCTAAATTATAAGAAGTATGTGTAATGTGCAACTCAATTGATTTTTTATAAGATACGATCGGTAAATCGATTGTTTGGTGTGTGACTCCTGGTTTTGACCAATCAGTGACTCCGACCAAATAAAGATCAGTTAAAATGGTGATAAGAATGATGTCGTCACAGCCAAAAGCAGCATTAAGTTTTTTGTGAGGCAGTCTACGTTGCTACCCAAAGTATACGCTTGTGTAAGAAAATAAAATGGTACGTAAATGTCATAGCGTATAAGTTCTTAAATCGACTCCGCACTCAGGTAGGACGCTGCAGAGTATGCATGTGTAAATGGGATTGCAAGGATACTAGTCTAATCCAATGTAAATACGGTGCCCCAACACCTGCACGCTTTAGGATTTAATGGCGGTGCGGCGTGACGCGGTCAGCGCAAGGATACGCTAACAATAAGTATTATCAACAAAGAAAAATAAACAAACACATTGTATAACTTTAGGTGTGACTCCCTTCCCAAAGAAAACACGGTCGATCCGAATGCGCTCACATATTTCTCTCTAAACAAAACCCGAAAGAAGCCTGTTGTGAAAAATTTCGTGGCCCGACGTATTGATTGTTCTACGAAAATGGGTGGCCGCGAACTCGGTTTTAAAACAAAAGGTTCGAGCCTCTTCTGTTTGCGTTTATTACCGAGTCCAAATCCGCGGTGCGGACTTAACGCCGGTTTAATTCCATCTTAGACAACTTTATGAACGGATTTGAATATTCTTATTGGATTTTCAGTTCTGGACTGGGATCATTATAGGTATGGAGTTGTAAGAATATTTTCTTTGGGCTCATAGGTTTTAAAACAATGCCTCCCGACATCTTATTTTATAGATACGCTCGAGGCCGTCACGTTGATTTTACAAGTAATGTTTAATGTCTACTTATTCGTAAGGCAGATTCTTTTCAGAATAATGAATCAGATGCTCTAGGGGTTGGCTTAATAAATAAATATTTTGTACACGTTTCTCATTTACAATATTTATTTCCAATATCATAATAGATAGACAAACCGACAACTGAGCTAAACATTCGAGCTGTTATTGGCTTACTTTTCATTAAAAGAACTTTTCGAAACGCTAATAACTGAGTAGTACTCATAAAGCTAAATTGCAATGCATCGGGTTATTGAAGTTTAAAACAAACATAATCTTCAACTAGTTCGTACCGTCTGAAAGAGTATTATTTTTCTTATAGCGCCATCTGTGAGCTTCAGTTCGTACCAAAATTTTCTTCTTGCTCACTTGGTATTATAAACGTTCCGCTATTCTATACGAGGTGGCGGTGTACCAAAATAGTATTTCTACTCCACAGTAGATGGCAATGCCTAATTTAAAAATAAACACATTGCAAAGAAAAAAAATATTTTTATACGTTCAACCCCGAGGAGGAATTTTTTATTGTTGCAATCAGTTTTAGGGAAAAAAGATCTTGTAAAACTTTAAAATTGTCGAATTTGATAAGGTATAATGCTCAAAATCATTTTAATTCAATTGTAATTGGATTTCATCTTAGAAATTCTTTATTAGGTGCCTTTCTCGAAACCCTTTTCAGAGATAGCACCAAAGGGAAATAATTGTTTGGCATCCCGTCATCAATCACCAGTGAGAGAGTGAGCGAGTGGCCGAAAAAATGCATCAGCCGGGCGTCGATCGTGTCATAAATAGCGATGGAGTGTGTCTACAGGATTTGGGGAAAAATACTTATAAACTCGAAAACATCGCATGCGTTGCTTTGATCCCAAAGTAGCTAAAGCACTTGTGTTATGGGAATCGGAATCGAAACGACGGTAACCACAAACACTCAGACTCGAGACAATATAAAAAAGTTGTTTTTCTACACTGACCCGGCCGGAGATCGAACCGGAGCCGTCAAATTTATTAATTAAATTGAGTGTACACATAGGTGGCTAGTGTGTAAAACTTTTTGAAACGGGCGTTAAATGCTCACAGGCACTTTTTACCCGTCAAACCTAAAAGAAGGGTAATGTACATTATACACAGCACTTATGTAAGAAAAGTAGCATCACGCGTATGAAATTGATCTTGAAAAGCCTGAATTGGACTTGAGACTCGTACCGATTTACGCTATCAATGTTCGTGATGTTAATGAAAACTAAAAAATGCATAACATGTTCTTTGGTAAATTTTAAAAAACCTATTTAAATAATTATAATTCAGAATAGGGTAAATACCCTATCTTGAATGCAAAATTGCATTAATATTATAATTAAGTAGTTGAAGACTTTAGCACATCAGTCAGCCGTGACCATGGGTCCTGCAAAGGTCGCGAAACGTTGGTTTATTTGGGAAAGAAATATATGAATAAATAGTTTCATTTGCAATTACAATTTCGCAATATTGCGATAAAGGTCCGAAACTGGCTTGTACATTGCGAAAGCGTTACCTTTGCGAGATATAGCAATTTTGACAACAGTAAACTGGCTCACAGTGAATAATGAATTATTACAGCACGTGTTCGGAGCGACGATAAGCATATTTTATGGGAACGTTCCCGTTCTCCGACGCATAATCATGAAAATCTCGAGTGAGCGATGACAGATTTACCACTCACAACATCTATTTGGTACAACGCGCAATAAAAATATGAGCGAGCATAACATGTTTCATTATAGTTTTTAAGGAAACGTCACGACGTTATTGTTCGACGTAAATTTGGAATTTTCACCACGTTTTTGACATCTTCTATGAACTTTTTCGTACATAGGAAGCAACTTTTGTCTCAACTAGGCTATCACGAAAACACGAAATCGTCTCTAAATGTACTTTCAATAATATTCAAATAATGTAATAAAACTTTTTCGATCAATAGGCAATAAACACATTGCAATATTTTCAAGCAATAAAATGGCAAATAAAAAACTTATTGGCCTCTACAAATGTATTCTCTATCAGTACTGCCAAAAACGCTAATGTGATGTACTTTCTTCTTGTTCTCGGCATATTTATTTATAAAGTAGATCCAAGTCATGGTAACGTTACAAATATTAGCATGCGAGGCGATAATCTTAGTGTAAATGACATTACTGACACGCTACTGGCTGTATTGGGTATTCACGAAGATGGAAACTTAACAAATTCAGGAAGAATCAAAGAGTTAAAAGATAAACTGCAAGCAATAGACAGCTATGTGGTTGACAAAGAAAAGTACAGGGAATTGCTTATGAACGAAACGAGACATTCGACATTAAACCAGACAAATTTTTACTCAGCGTTGAATGAGCAAGATTATTTTCAAACTTTGACGAATGAGACCATGAGTTTGTATTTAAAACTGAAGGTTAAAATGAACAGAGATGATATAGTAAAGTTATTATCAGAAAAAACCGATAACACAAACATGAACAAATCGGCTCGAAGGTCGTTAATGGACAATGTCGAGGCGGGGAGAAGGAGACTGACGAAATTCGAAGAAATGGTTGACAAGTATATTGGGGAAGTCGCCGTCGATGAGCACACCTTTGACGAAAACGACCGATATGTCAAAACTTGGGGTATGTATGCAGCTCATATTGGCTACAGGATAGTATTGGCTACTTTCGAAATGTAACAAAAGATTCTTTTCATTCGATACAAGAACTTGAATATTTGTATAGTGGGACAAAGGAAGTGCGAAAGGTGGGAAATTATTCATGATCAGGTTTTAAGAAATAGCCAAAATATTAATAAGTTTTTAGAATAAAAGGACTTTATACTAAATATAACGAAAGTATATTTGTTTTATGGGGAGAGAGTCAAGATTTGAACAAAATATCTAAAAATTATATCTGTTTTCTTGTAAGCTGATTCCAATACAAGTGTACAACGGTTACAATCTGTTTGCAGCTCGATTACATAACGAGGCGTGGTAGCAACACGCGAAGAATACAACTGGCTAATAGTTACGTATTTGTATTTGCTGTTAATAAATCTTATTCCAAACGGTTACGACGTTTTTTATTTTGTTATTGAGCTGCAAATGGTATTTTCAAATCATATGGTACAGCACGCAGAAGTGGATTGTTACACAAGATACTACTTGTCTGAGTAATCAATTTCAATAACATTAATACTGAACTCTATGGAGATCTAAACATTGAATAGTTCAAATTAAAGAACACACGACTCTCTTAAGGGAGACAGGCAAGAGGGCAGGTATTCATCAGGCCACGGTAAATAACGCTAGCTGCCAAATTAAACAAATGATGATATTTTTGATAAAGATAAGACGCATACATACCTTAAAAGAGGCCCGTACAATAACTATTATGTTCTTATCGGTATATCCCTTGCGCAAGCATAAATCGTTGTGAACTAAATCCCCGCGTAAACTAAACGTGATATCCGAGAAGCGGGAATAGACGTTGCGTCGGCTGTTCCTGAGTCTCACAAATCTGAGAGTTAGCTGGATTAGGTTCGTTATTGTTTTTTCTTAGAAACACGATTTTGTAAGAAAAATTTTGTGTCTTTGTAAAATATTTGTAAATGTGTTTCTACGCCGTGAAGGTAGTGAAATGGAAGTATTATCGGAAGGTCTCTAATCCATTTCACAATATTCTTTCTCCTAGTCTTTAAGACCGGTAGCAGCCCGAACGGTTGCTTATTGTTACTTCTCGATTGAAAGGTCCACGATTAATTTTTTAATGTTTAGTAATAATACCTCTTTCTAACGGCGAAGAAAAACAGTAATTAAACCTAGTTGTAGAAGACGGTTCACAATTTTCGAAAGACGTGAGAAGTCTCCAGCCTGCATTGGCCCAGCGTGGCAAACCGTAAACTGAGATGTTTACATTGTTTTTTAAATCTGAATATTCCGTTTTCTTAACAAATTTTAAAGGAATAAATTAATGTTGTATATTTGAAACTTGCTTATAAACTTTATAAACCTCTTTCAGATCCTCAAGCAGAACTGGAAGAGCGCAAAACCTTCCATCAGCACGACGGACGACGGATCTTTCGCGGCGAGCGCACTACAGTCCGATATTATCCGTTTATGGTGTCCGTACACGTCATGGGACGCTTCTGGTGTGGTGGATCCATTTTCTGGAGTGATATCGTTCTTACATCTGCTTCGTGCTTGCAACTGTAGGTTAACACACCACATTAACACTGTCCTCGAAGGCGCACGCCTAATGGTAATTACTATTGGGCCACCACAATCGGATAGTACATAATTCAACAAGGAATATTCAAAAGAAAAACAAACTTCTTCCAAACAATATAAAAACATTAAACACGAAAACACAATTTTCCCATAAAGTTACGTCATAAAAAGCAAGTTCCGCCCAACAAAATTCTACTCACCAATTGAAACTGTGATTTCCAGCAGATAGATGGCACCAGTAAGCCAACTGAACCTAGTGGAGTGTAATTACAAATTGAATTATTAACGCGCCCTTGAAACTCGTATTACCTGTGTTGCGAAGTCTGTATAAAATTAAAATCAACTCCACAATTGTAATGAACCGCTTGCTATGCGGTTCCTAATAACCAAAGGACCACCCACTTTCCTGTGATCATAAACTCGTTCGCATAGCGTGGTTATTCCGACATCTCTTTTCTAAATTGTTCAGATAGTAATAATAAATTAAAATTATACGTAGTACCTCGCAAGGATTTCGAAAGAAATAGTTTTCGAATCTTAGAACTCCAAGACAATAATGCTGCAGGCAAACACAAAGTTACTTAGAACATAACGTCTAATTACCAAAAGATTAGTAGTTCTAGGAGTAAAATGTAAAGCCAGCTCATGCTATAATTAAGTGGTGAAACAAGTTCGTGAAATTGGGGTATGTCTGTACGCTTTCGCTTAATTGAGATGTTTTCGAGAGCTTTCTGCGATAAAGTGCTCGCCAGGGATCGACAGCGAGGTGGAATTGCTAAATTTAAAGTGCCCTAAATAATTTGGGGTTACAGCCGCGTGCGTTCGTACGAGAATTATATTTTTGCATATTTATCGCAACCGAACTGTAGTTGCTTAGAGAAAAATAGTAATTCGAATATTAATAAACATGAAACTCTTCATGATGCCTGAAACCAAAATATCGTTAGTAGAAAAATCCTAAAATATTTGTTTCGGTATTTTACGACTTTCGTGGTTGTTCACCAAATAACTATCACTTGGAACAGAGAGGGTAATAATAAGAAGTCGTAGATAGTAAATTATTCCTTATCTATATAATTATCAATGGATGATTAGGGCAAGGGAATATTTTGTTTTATTTTTGTTTAGGATGCACAACAACCGTTTCTTTCGCGAGAACCCGAAGACACTGTTCGTGAGGGTTGGGAGCAACCACAGCAGAGTCGGCGGAGAAACAATTGAAGCTCTTGAGGTATTCACAGACTAGGATGAATTCTCACACCTGTATTTTCTCGCCTTCCTTAGACCTGGTGGGAAGTTCCAAAATATATGACTTGCTCATGTGGAATATGTCCGCTCTGCGTAGCAGGCCTGAACATTATGACATTATGCTATCGTATGTTCTATTCATTGAAAACTATACCTGAACTGTCATTTACGGAGCGTACATTTACGTTTTCATTGTATCGAAAAATACACTTGTCACCAGGTTAGGTGACTTATATATGGATAGAAGCATTTCGTCTTGTTTTCTGTCTTTTCCTTTTACCTTCGTACTGTTCTGAAATTTCATTATTTCAACCATTTGTTCAGGTATACTTCCATCCGGCGTACAACTCGAAACGCTTGCGCAACAATATCGCGATCATCCGCCTGCGCCGTCATGTGAAATTCTCTTACCATCACGTCCCCAAGCGAATCGACATATCGCACAACGATATGGGTATCTCATTCACAGCTGAGGTCTTGCTTTTGGGGTGGGGCGTCTCCAAGGTGAGTGAATAAACCATACAATAGGTACTTTCACACGCATTTATATTCTTTATTGCACCAAACGAATGCAAAATAAATAATAATTGTACATAAGATGAGCAAAAATCATAAAGCGTGCTCAGTTTAAGTCGTGACAAAACGTATAAAGTCCTTTTCTGGGTTTTTCTACTGACAAGGATTTCGGTTTGAATTCAAGGAAAAGCAACATAAAAGAAAATTCGAGACGGAATCAAGAAAAAACAGAATAGAAAATTCAAAAAAAACCGTGCGACCGTTATGACATGCAAACAAACAATTTGATTTTTTATTTATTTATTTATTTATTTATTTATTTATTTATTTATTTATTTACACAACTCTATCCTTACAGGTTAGGTACACCCAATTCGATAGCGTCGACATCATTCTTACATATCTAATTAATTACTTATATCTAAACTCTATTACATATTATATTATACTAAATTACAACGAACAAACTTACCAGAACAATTGCTGTTATACATATTTACACAACACCCATAGAGAAGCTTTCTCAAATTCGTTTTAAAATAATCTAACAAAATTACTATGAAAAATTACATCATCATATGAAAACTATGTAGTTTTCGTATGATGATGTAATTTTTCATTCAGTACATACTGAACTCTTTGATACGTTCTGAATATACGTAAAAAGAGTAACATTGTAAAATTATTGTAAAATAATGCAGTGTAACTACATTCTAAACACATTCACCCAGCAAATTGTGTTGAAAATACACACTGTTTGTCTCAATAACTTTGATCGTGTATGTTCGTGCTTACATTAAAGTGGTTTAAAAGAGTTTGTTTGTTCGCAGGCTACTCAAAAGCTGACTTATGAGCCGATTTTCCTTCAGAGAAAGTTGCTGCCCATTTATCCGAGCAAGTTTTGCAAAGAAATTTACGGGGAGTGAGTATTTTTACTTTGTCGTTGCCATCTTACTATGTCGGTGTCCCAAAAATAATGTTTCCGCACAATACCAGGCTCAAGCCGATCGAAGGTAATTACTACACAAGTGAAACATAGATATTGTAATACAGAGCGTGACGACGCTAATTATTGCACGGATTGAAGTTTTTCACGTCATCATTATCCACAGCCCGTCTTCACTCACTTACTCCCGTTAAAAGTTTTCCGTAGTCTGTACCAACCACCTCGATTTTTCTCTTTGTCCATCTACGGCCCACGACTTTCACGATGTCGTCTACCCATCTCGCTGCAAGATGTCCTACATTTCTGTAACCTTTTATTGGCCATCATTCGTTAATCGCTTCACTCCGTCTGCCATCATCACGTTTCGCAATATGTACCGCACACCAACATATTTATGAGTATGAGTCAAAGTTTACCTTACAAGAACAATGTTATTTATCGTGGGGTCCTTTTTCCTCTTATTTTCAGACAATTTATAACAGAATCAATGTTTTGTGCCGGAACTGTGACTACAGGGGAAGGTGCTTGCGATGTAAGTTTACATATTTCTGAACGACTCCAATGGCTTTACTTTTCAATTTCTACGCTTTTCTCCTTCTCTATACACGAACAGACACGCATAACCGTGTATATACAAATTACGTTTTTTTCAACAATTCGATATCCTCTCTATTAGCCCACATGCAGCAGCAGCAAACCATCCTAATCGGCCTTTCTGATTCGGGAATGCCGAAGCCGACGGCTAAAGTCGACAAGCTGCGCATTGAGCCAGTAGCTCGCATCGTCATGTCGCGCATTAGGGCGCGTGTACACGCTAAGAAATTCGACATTCTGCTACAGCAAAGATGAGAATGCTCTTGTACACGACAAGAACCTTGTCGGATCTAGCCACGAAAACATGTCGTGTCTGTTGCAGACGAGAAAATGATGAGTATGTACACGATACGAATGCTTTCGGACAGACGTTTGTAGGGTAAAGTGTGTCTTTGCATTACAAGTCTTCCAGGTATCTGTCGTTTACTATCGACTGTGGGAAGAAATATATTATTGTATATGTTGACTTTTAAAGCAACACCCGTCCACGCGCATAAACGTTTCTTTACTGACAATGCACCTCACCCCACCCCATACAATAGTGGCAGAGCGCGTCGTGCTGGGGGTAGACATAGAGAGAGTAGAAATAGTAGAGTAGAGATTTTTTCTTGTCCGGCGCCGGGGCAGTGTACACGGTTCGTGTGTAGAAACGACACGAATTTTTGCATAGACCCGACTTTTCTTAGCGTGGACACGCGCCCTTATTCTCAAAATTTGTAAATTCTAAACACTAGATTTTTAGTAACATATTGTATCTAAACATCTGAAGTTTTTATTATTTTAACAATTATATATATTTTCACTACGCTTTTATTAATATCACATAATTTTAATAAGGACAAACCTATGACGTACTTACGTTTGATATCGGATTTGATTTTATCTGTCCAATTTCAGCACGACGCGGGGGGGCCGGCGATCATGAACGGCCTACTGGTGGGCATAATTTCATTCGGGCCAACAGTGTGCGGGTTCCCCGACGCGCCCACTGTTTTCACCCTCGTCGGGGCCTACGCCGATTGGATCGAGACCGTTAACGAAACGGTAAGACGAACCAACAAATATCTATTGGTCTGGGTGCAACAATGTCCTAGTTTAAAGCCAGAGTTAAGTCTTTAAAAAATATACATAATTTCGTTAAGAAAGAAGATATCCATAATATTAACCTTAGAACTAAGTCCAAACTCATGGTACCACGAATTCGTTTAACTAAAAGGTAAACGAGTCTATTTTAGGAAACTGTATACGTTTTTAAAATAAAATTCCGGAGCATGTATTAAGATTACCATTTTTTAAGATTAAAACTTGCATAAAATACTTTTAGTATTTTAATTGAGAAGTCATATTACAAAATTGTAGACTACGTATTAGATAAAGATGTATGGAAAGACGACGTGAGTCTAGATTCCACACATTTGTGTGAATCTGATAAATGATTGAAACGTATTCTATGGCATTTAAGTTTATTTGAAAAGAGCAATCCTTAGAGTTTCTTGCTCGTTCTTCTCAGGGAGTAGCTTAGAGTAGGACTAGCTTAAAAAATGACGTTTTCAAGTGTAAAAATTTTACCTATGGAATTAATGATTATTTGACTTGACTTGACTTCACTTGTTCAGGTGAATGATAAGATTTTACGATGGTCTTGCACATTTATCAATGCTAACAGGCTTTACAAACTTTCCGACAGATGCCCCCATACTACTCCGCGTACAAACGCACGACGACAACAGCACTGCCTCCTTACGTCGAATATTTCCGCACGCTACCGAAGAGAAAGATCACACTCGCCACGGACAGTCATACTACCTCCATCATAGATCTCTTGACCAAAACCACCGAGTCGACTACTACGGCAGAGCTCCGATTGAGACATGGGGATGCAGGCACCCAGCCGGACGGCGAAGAGGGAATGTTTATTGATTTTAATACATAAACGCCTTTATATTTCTAATTTGGTCTTATTTTCATAAATATTGAATATGGGTACCACACCCGGCTAGAGCAAAACTGACAATGAAGCTAAGCATACCAGTGGTACAATTTAAGGGAAACACGCACGGGTTTACGGAAGGGACCACCAAGCACCAGCAGCCGCTGACCAGCGTCCTATCATTAGACCATATTACGTTACAATTTATTAAATTTCTATAGACAGATATTTTACAGGCAGTTACTCATGTCTTGTGAAGTCATATGTTTAAATTTTAAGTAAAATATGACGGCGCGGTCAATAGATTTGCGAAAGAAATGCAATTAAAAACAAATAAGGACAAACGGAGCGCTTCGGGGCAGCACATAAGCCACGCGTCGTAATAATTGCAGGGATTTAGTATACGCATCCTTGGCGGTGCTGATTTGTACGTGAAGTATAATTTAAAAAAGTAGTAGTAGTTGACCATTGCTACAAAGACACAGGTACAGAACTAATAGCAACAAAAATAAAAATAGGAAGAAAACTAGATATATGTGTATGACAGCTGCGAATAGGTCCACATCTACGTCTCGCAGTTCAGTCTAATCTAATAATATTCCAGTACTAATCTTCAAAAGGAAAGTAATTCCTTAATAAAAACTACCAAAGAACGTCGCCTTAACATTGCACACACACACGTATGAGCGTCTTCACGATCATACAAACGTGATCGTCGTAAACTTTTTGCGAGCGCAGTAATGACTTTCATTACGTGGTTTATGGAGCTCCCGCGACGTCGATTGTTCGCTTTGTGACAGGCGTCGTTATTATTTCTATTAAGAGCGAACTCTTTGGCGTCAAGGATCCCTGTAGAGTGAACACTGTTTGAAGGTTCCTCTAGAAGCGTGCTTTTCTTTAGGCAATCCGTGAGATAGCAGTTAAACAAAATTAACAACAATACACTAATGACTAAAATGAATACAAGCGCAATGTAGACTAACGTGTACTTTACAACAACATACATTAAGGATTCCGTTGAGGTCTTCTCATTTTGGCAGCACCTTTGGAGAACCAATACCCTGAAGACGATAACGGGAAAATGGCTCAGCTGTTTTCCTGCTCAGTAGGTTCACCCTGTTACACGTCGATAATAAACACAGATTTAAATAGTAATTCTTATTTCTAATTTGATTTGAATACTAATTATTTTCAGGCTCTTTCGAGTGTTTCGCTAAAATTTATGATCGTAGTCTAGTTCGTAAGGTTGATTGTGCGTTTTAATAAGTGGCTGCGGTGGGAGTTGAGGTTAATGCATTTGAGGGCACGTAATGGGCGCGTAATGGCGCCATCGCAGCGCAGCCTGCGCAGGGCTGCAATTTAACGTTTGAGAGGGTGAAATCAGTCCATTCGACAAACGATTTTAAAACATTCTTAAGACTTATGAGCGAAGTACCAAACATTTTTAGAAACAGAATTTTTTTAAAGGAATAAAGTGTTTTATATAGTACTATAAACAAGTCTTTTATAAGATTCCAAGTGGCGGGACGAACAAGTCGTACGTTTGGTGGCAAGCGGCACGCCTACCCTGAACAGTTGCAGTCCACTCAGTGCTTTAAATCCCAAAGATCTGAGAGGTATTGCCACTGCGCCCATCACCCTGAGAACAAGTTGATAAGTTCCATGTGCCTGTAATTTCACCAGCACCAGCACTAGCACGCAGTAATGCTCACTCACTCGCTGCTTAGCGGCAGAAATAGGTAAGACGACGACGATCCCTGGTTGTGACTGAATAACTATATTATCATAGATGAAGTGTCTGAAATATTAGGGGTTAAAGTATGAAATTGCCGTTTTATTTCAATAGGTTCTTTGAATTTTCATAGAATCTTCATGGTTTGAGGTTTTCGAATGAAACTTTTTTCAAATGGTTTCTGTGATTTTTTTTTTTTTTAAATTTGAAACATTTGAATATCGACTTTCAATTG